TCATTCTCTTTTATTTTATCTGAGATCACTATCATGTAATTGGATCAGTGGGGATGGACCAAAGGTGCCTCCTGGAACGTTACCAAAGATGCTAAGGTGCGCAAAGGTGCGAGAGTCCAACCACAGCCATCTAAATGCACGATTAGCACCCTAGAATATAACTTGATTGTGACAGTTCCTTCTGTCAGTATAAAGGACTATGTTCTGTTACAGCTCTTTATAAATTCTCCTGCTACTCATAGTAGTATTACCATAGTGGAACTGGTTGATAGGTGATAGTGATAGCCTGAGTATAAAAAACTCAGTAGAGACTATTATATTTACCCAAATCCAAGAACACTAAATTTAAGACCCCCCCCCCCCCCATTAGATTCTGTACATGAAAATTTTACAAATTTGCAAATCCAATTATTGGAGGGTCATCTTAAATTTGTCCCCCCAACTGCTGCAGTGAGGAAAACCATGGCAGGGGGGCAGGCAGCACAGGGGTGGGGGTATGAGAGTTAAGTGGTCTGACTCCTGCCCCTTCCCACCAACACTTTGCCCGCTGCCACCTGTGTCCCCCAGTAGCTGTATGCCCTTTTGCCTGCCCCCCCGCACCAGCCCCCTCCCCTTTCAGTACCTCTGCTCCCTAACACCTGTCAATCCTCCTGCCTGCCTGTCCCCCCACTGCCTCTGTCCCCCACTACCTCTGCCTGCTCACCTGCCCCCTATCGCCCCTCCTCCTCTTCTCCCCTGTCACCTCTTACCCACTTGCAACCCACCCCCAGCTTACTCTCTGGCCCTGGCTCTGGCATGACCAGGCTGGAGCTGGGGCATGGCCAGGCTGGGGCTGGAGCTGGAGTGGGGCTGGTGTTGTACAGGAGCCAGAGGGTAACGGGTAGTACTGCTGGGCAGGAGGGATGGCGGGGGGGGGGGAGGGCCAGGCAGAGATGGGGAGTAGGTGGTGGGGCAGAGGCAACAGGGACAGAGGTCAAACAGCTACGAGAGCTCTGACTTGAGCCCTGGGTAAAAGCTGCAGCAGCCACCTGCCCCTGCCTCCTTGAGTCCAAAAGAAGGGACTTTATTTCCCATGTTAAATGGGGGGAAAAACCTTGTCTTGGTTTTGAGTAAATACAGTAATACAGTAATTATAATACTCTTAGAATTGTTTGTGTTACACGTGGTTCTTTTGGTGGTGGCTCAGGAATGCAGAGAAACTATATATATTCTAAAATGGCATAAGTTCTTCCACATATTGTATGCATTAAAGAAAAAATACGTCTTTGAAAACAGATTATGAGCTTGTCAACACAGGAAATCTCTCACAAAGCATCTTCATCACCAAAAGTCCGTATGAAGAGCTCTATTACTACGTATCCCTGCACAAGTATATTTAAAGTATGGGTATTTTTCCTAGTCCTAAGTATTTATATTGGGCTATACCGAAAATGCCTGTAGATATAATAATTCTTTATTGTTCCTACATATATTATGAGCCTTAAACATGGATTTTTACAGTTAAATACCACCCAGTACTCTTTAGAAAGTTAAAACGATGATTTTTAAAAGACACCTAAAAGAATGAGATCTGTTGGGAATAGGCAGTCTAGCCAACATGCTGTTTTTTATTTAAATGAATAAACATCTCTGTATAATCATTATAGGAAAGCGTGTTGTTCAAATGGTGTGTCTGAATCCTGACTGCCAAGATTTGTGCTGCTTTCTGGCAGCAAATGGTGGCAGATAGTTTAGAGATACCCCTGAATTAAATGTATTTTGTCCTTACACTTTTAAGCGAGCTCTTTGCAGGGACCCAGATGCTGATTGTCACTGGCAGATTCTTCAGGTTTAGGATAATTGGGTCATGATTCCTTTGTTTGTAGGGATTTGTCCCTTGAGTCACTTTAGATTTCAAATGGGTCTCAAAGGTCACTAAGAGAGACTGAAAGATTTAATATCAATCATTCTTAATCCTGTTCTTTTTACATTTGTGTCCAGTTCACAGTGAACTGGAGGTATTTTAAATGGACTTGTCACTACAGAGCACAGTACTCTTTTATTACTCAGGCATCCAGAAGTGACCTTACAATTTGCAGGGTCTAAGACTCTAGTGAGAGAAATTGACAGAGAATTTCCTGGCCCAGAACCAGAGGAGGTGTTTGGGCTGGTCTGTGAGTTGCTAAATAGTTGGGACAGGAGGGGTCCCCCATCTCAAAAAGAACAGCGCCTCAGTCACGTCAGTGCTTATGCACAAGAGCAGACATGCAGACATCTCTAACTTCTGTGTTCTTCAGTCAATTTTAAAATTCTGTGTGAAATCAAGTACATCATAGGTAAGGTCATCACTTAAGAAACTTCTAGATAGCGACTGTGTAATTTTACAGTTACAATGCTAATGCTTCATATGTATACCTGTATGATGTAGGTCTTGGAAGACCCTAAAAGGACTAACCTGATTTTAGAGAACATTTAAGTAGTGACCCAAAGAGAGAAATATTTGGGACCAGAGTTCTGTGGATTATCACAATTCACAAAAGGCTGAGCAGGTGCTTGTAGGTTTTAAAATAAATTAAATAAGAACCCAAGGCACAACGTCTCATGCAGCAGAAACTGGATCCTGTGGATTATTATACTCTGATTAACTGAAGAATATTATAATGTAACAAGGCAAAATCTGAGTAAATCAAAGGCAGTAGCAGACAGTTCAGTAGCAACTGTCTGACCATTAGATTATTCTACAGCAGTCTATATACACGGTCTCTCAGGAATCAGTGACCCGATTTCTGTGGTTAGAAGAATATTCAACCTCTTGAAGCTGCTCATTCTGCCCCAGTGTTCCACATTATCTGGATTTTTATAGCTGGATGGCTAATAAGGGACTCATCAGAAGATAGAGCCACTACTTAGCACTATTGAAATACTGAATTCTTCTCTCTGGTCTGCATAGCAGTTCTCTGATCGTTGTTCCACACTTTCTTCAAGCCTGGAATCTTTGTGCATGTGAATTAGAGGGGAATGCATGCCGTGAGAATGCAGCATACTTTGATCTGCTTTGTAGCTCAGAGAGAAGGATTTACTTCTTGTCTTATGAATGTATACAAGCATGAATGCAAATCATCGGGTGGTAGAAATAAACATGAGTTACTCACTCAGCAAGACATACTAAATTTATGAAAGTGGGACTGTCCCATTCTAAACAAGGTAAGTAACACTTGCAGTTATTTTCCTTACCCAATACACTAACAATTCCCTTCTGACTTCTAATCATCAAGGAAACATTGAGGTTTCATTCAAAAAGCAGATATTAAAAAGCACTTCTCTTCTGGAAACTGGCTCTAAAAGTAGCCCTGTTGGTTCCATGCTTATCATGTGTCAGCAGTTTCCGTATCAAATGGGCTCATCTCACAAGTAAGGAAAATTTTTCCCCCCTAAATGCCAACTCTTAAAACTTAACCTGGGATCTAGGTATCAATCTGAGTTCTTCCTTCTGACATATGATGACCAGAAAAAATATTCTGAAGGCCAAATTAAGCCCTCTATTACATGACAGCAACTCTGCAGCTTGGCTGGGACTGATTCTGTGATAATAGACAAGATAGAACAGAATACAGCTTCCTCCCTCTCAGTTGAGCTGTATTGGGTGTACTAACATTAGCAAAGTTCAGTGAAAAATTATTTGAATTATTAAATGAGCAGATATATGTCAGTAAATGCATAAGGAGCAAAACTATTTGAGGAAGAAGAGCTGTACTTGAAGTCAGATTTTCAAAAGTGTCCATCAACCACAACTGGGGATAGATACTCAAAAGGGCCCAGTTCCTATTCAGGTGCTTAAATAAAATGACTAGACTTTCAAAAGTGTTAGCAACTCCCATTGTGCACGGTGCCAGGAGGATTTTTTGAAGGGAAATGATCAGATTCTACAAGAACTATTTGGATCCCCACACATACAGGCTATGGTATTTGCCTGGTTTCTTCAATAATAAAGTATTTGGGCTGACTGAAGGGAAGCAGAATGAGGTTTCTCTCCTGGAAATGTCATTAATGTGTTGGGAAGAGACCCTCCTATATTCTTTTTCATAACAAGAGGAGAAGAAAATCATTTGAGTGACTGCTCAAAAATAATATCATCGTACTGTGTGAAATTACAAGGAAAGTGAAAGTACAAATATCATGTTTATAATCTGAATTAATAGGCATTCATGATGGGGATCTGGCAGATTGAAGATGATTAAGTCTACATTATTATTATACTGGAGTGTGTGTATTGTATATACTGGAGAAATGTACTATAAACTGTGGGAATCTGTTGTTATTGATTTATCAATAGTCTCAGTTTTTGTAATCAGGAATGGTAAGCTTTTTTCTCTTTTGAAGTATCCGTATTCTGAACGATCTGGTTTTTTACATTTACTTGATTTTTAAGTAAGCTGTATGCTGTTTTGCAAAGTATATGTATTAATACAGATTTCTATAATGAAGTATCATTGATTCCTGTAAGTGTTTAAAGACATTTAAATTCTAGATAACTCAGTATTTGATTCTGCAGACCCACCACAGACTGAACTCAACTGTTTGGTATGTTCCTCATTAGCTAAATAGGAAAAATGAAAGCCAGAAAGAAGGGGTGCATACACACATACTAAGTCAGCCTAAAATAAAGTGGCTTAACTAAGTCAACTTAACTAAGTCAACTTAAATTAAGCCACATCAGAGCTTAGAGCTTATACATGTCCAGCTCCTTGACATGGTGGCAGTCATTTTGGAGGTAAGTCAACTTAACTAATGTGACTCAAGATAATGCATCTCAAAGGTATATTATCTTGCACTGCATTTAGGTTGAGATTGCTCCACAGACAGTTAAGTCAACTTAAAAAAGTTAAGTTGACTTAACTGTCAGGCAGTTACTATATTTGTATGCACCTAAAAAGAGTAGCTTTTCAGTTTCAGATTATGAGAAGACTATTGCATTAAGACACTTTTAAGTCAAATAATTTTGTCTTGACTCTTTCTTTCAGTTGTGTGTAATATTGGAGCCAATGCAAGAATTGATGTCAAGACATAAAACTTACAATTTAAGTCCTCGAGACTGCTTGAAGACATGTTTGTTTCAAAAATGGCAGCGAATGGTGGCACCACCAGGTATGTTTGGCTTTCAGTATTTTTTTTCTATATTCTGATTAGAATTTTTTAAATCAATATGAGAAAACTGTGCTCTTGAAAATCCACTCAGAATATCCATTTGGAAATGTTTGGGACAGTGCAAAACAGCACTGTCCTTAACAAAAACTTGGACATGATTTTGATGTCATGTGATTTGGTGTAATAAGTTGCAATATGATATGGTAAATATACATATTCAAATAGTTTCACTATGTGTAAGATACTGTTTAGGAAAAATAAAACACAGAGATAGAAAGTAAAAAGCCCACTGGCTGCACGAGAATTCAGTTTATATACTCTAGCTTCCTGCTGTGACTCTGGAATTAGAGCTTCAAGTCATAATTAATTGGCTTGAAGTCTAATATATTTTTACTTACAGGTTTGTATTTAACCTCTTTCATCTTAAATGCAAAAATAACCATCTGCTACAAAAAATAAAAATTACAGCTATTAAAGTAGATCACATGACACATTCTAGAAGGATTGAAAAATTGTCACTTTTGTATTTGTCCAGCTTAAGACGATTGAAAAATAGGTTTAGTGGATGGGCTACATTTTGAAATTTAGTAGAGGAACATGATTTTACATACACTGACATATTACACTCTGAAAGTCTCTACTAAAGGTGAGAGCCATGACTGAGACTTGAAGTCATATTGAATGATTCTCTGATCCTTTAAATAGTCTTGACTTTGGCAGGATGGTCCAAAGGTTTGGGCTGTGGGCTAGTAGAACAGGTTTCTGTTTTTAGTTCTGCCCAGGACCTCTCTGCACCTCAGCTATCCCTAATAATACTTATTATAATGTTCCTTCTGAGATAGATTGATGAACACTGCTGGAAGAATAATTATTATTAATCCATTAATTACATTGAAAACCGAGTCTATTGCTTTTTGTTCCACGCGATGGTCACAAGTTTATAAATTAATTCCAGAATAATAACAGTACTAAACACGCAGCAGTTTGGAAATGGGTGAGGAAAAAAATATATTTATTTAGTACTTACTTGTATTGTTCATTCTTTTACATGCTTTAAAAAGTCCATGATTTGCTTTACTTGTACAATTTTATTGTAGCAGAACCCACAAGACAACCGACAACCAAACGGAGGAAAAGGAAAAATTCAACCAGCAGCACTTCAAACAGCAGTGCTGGGAACAATGCAAACAGCACCAATAGCAAGAAGAAAACGGCAGCTGCAAACCTGAGTCTGTCAAGTCAGGTACCTGTAAGTCTCATTTTCATTTTAGGACTGAATCTCAGCACTTTACAGCTTTCTGCATATGTACAGAAGATTTATTCATGAGCCAAAATTATCAAGCATATGGCGAGACCTTACACAGTGTGATGTGGAATCTGCGAAATGAGAGGGAGAATGTGAAGAGGCTGTTCTGCAATCCAGTTTTAGTGAATGACCCTCAGGGAGTGGGTGGGATTAAAAATGGATTTAATCTTTTGGGGCCTGGTCCAAATCCCACTCATCTCAGAGAGAGACTTTCCATGGACTGCAGTGGGTGTTGGTTTGAGCCTTTGGTATTCAGCAGTAGGACCACAGATGGTCTCTTTTATAGTCACCAGAAACTAGATTCATGCATTAATCTGAGTTATAATGGAAACACAAGGATACCATAGCGGGACAGACTAGCGGTGGATCTGATCTAATATCCTATCTCTAACAACAGCCTTTTTCAGATGCTTCAGTGGAAGCTGTCAGAAATCCCACAGAGGTTATATCCTCCTAACTCCTATCAGTTACCAGTGGGCACCTGCCCTACAGCTTAAGAACTGATACTTCTTACCAATTTTTATCTTGTTACCTGTAATTGTTGATGTCCTTATAGTACATATAGCCACATACTGTAATATGTTTTTGACCCCTACTGAGTTCTCAGTCTCAGTGGTATCTCATAGCAACAATTCTACAGGATAATTATGCATCACACAAAAAATATTCCCTTTTATCAGTGTTAAGTTTGTTGCCTGAATCACTATCTATGGATAATCAGGTTCCAAACTGTGACTGAAGTGAGTTTTATATCTGAAGGGGGTAGCTCATGCATTTTAAAGCTTGGAAAATTAATTTGATATTATAGGGACTCTAATGTTGCAATTTGAGAATAACATAAAATGATTTTTATTGTATTTTTGATCAACATGTACAAAAGGAGTAGATCCTCTGTGGATCCTAACAAAGGATATGGGCCATTTGTTACCACACAGAAGGGAATTCCTAAAGAACCTAACTAGTTAAGTAAATAGAAGCACCGAACTACCTAGAGGTAGTACTAGGGGATATAAAATGGATTTTCATTCTTAACGACTGATTCAGCAAACCACTAGGTTACAGCAGCTTTTGTCTTCAGAGTATTAAACTCTTATTTTTTCCCTAGCAAATCAGACTTCATGCAGATCTCACATCCAGCGCCAGATCCCTCCTCTAATGCTGCTAGCTTTATTCAGTTCAGATGGCATCAGAAAACTGGTGCAGGTGACTACCTGGAGATTCCATCCCTCTCTGGGTGGCACAGGGTGCTGTGCCTCACTGCCAAAATGACTCCCTCGGGACATGAGCATGCATGAGAAAGTGCACCCCTGGTGGTCCCCAGATAGCACCAGGATCAGGAAGCCATTACAGTGGTTAGAGACACCTTATAACTCTTGCTTCTTGCTCTGATTCATTTCAGCCAAACCCAAATCTGGTACCCTGCATGTACTTCCCTTGAGTCTTATCTTCCCAGCTCTCTTGTCTTATTGATTTCAAGAGAAATTGTGCCTTTTGAGGGAAATCCATTCCTCCCAATGATAAAAAGAGACTCTGTGCAGCCATAGAAGAGGGTGAGATTTCTTTAAGAGCCCATAAATTAATAATTAAGTAATAATTACAGTGCAATTCCCATTGATAGTAATGATAATTGTACAACTACTCTGATATACACAATAGTAAAATATTCCCCATATGATATTCTTCATAAAATGTGGGTGGATTTTTAGTCTTGCCTTTATTTTGTAGTGTATCATATCCATCTAGGGAAGCATAAAAGTATTTTTATATAGGTTAGACAGAACGCTATCAGATGTTCTGGTTTGAACCTATTCAGAATGTTTTCTTTTAAATTAGATATACTTTTCACTAAATATACATGTCATTAAAATCATAGTCTTTAATGCATCCAGAGTCTTCATTATAGAACTGATACTATCTAAAACAGGCTACACATTGCAGCACAGGTGCTTCAGTTCTTCTTTTTCTAACCTCACTCACTAGCAAAGCAACCAGTAGTGAAGGTAAAGTTTTTACAGTTTTCATCTATATGCAACGGATAAAGGTTAGACATTGCATTTCTTTCTCCCTCAGACATACTTATTTTCATATATAGTGTCATTACTTCACAGACTAAGCAGTCTAAAACTACAGTTTGCCTACTAACAGCTCAGTTTATCAAAGTACTCTCTTTAGATAATCTTGTTCTGCTCTTTGCTCCTGAGATGATTTCTTAGTACGTGCTCAGGATTCGAGTGCACAAAGCAGGCAATGATGACACACTTTTCTTCCTGGTGCTATTAGCTGATAGAAATTATGTAATTCCAGCCTTTGTTTCCAGATGATTCAAATGAGTAGAATTAGCTCCAGTCCTGTTTTCTTCCACATCATTTTCTCCAAGGGGAAGAATAGTACAGAGTTAGTTTGGGGGCACTCCATCCTTTTTTCTCCAGAGTCAACTCTACCAAGTAAAGAAAGTCTGTTTTTGCTATGGTCTAGTTAATTGTATGCTTCTGTCTCAGTTTTTCTTGGTAAGCAAACTTACCCAGTCTACTCAGGTGAAGAATATTTCACTGTGCTGTGCTCCGTATGGGCATTCTTGTTAGAGAACATTAGTAACTACCCAGGTCAGTGTCACAGTTACAGTGGTACTTTATATGCTCCGGGTGTTTGAAAACGTAAACCACCTACTCCACGTTGATCACTTGAGCCAGAAGAATCTCTTCAGAATCAGCAATCTGGAGTGTCCTGCTCTAAGCAAATGACATATCTTCAACCCGGGTGGTCAGAGAGCAGTCAGCACTATCAGCAACCACAGAATTTGAAACTCCATGAGGATATGACATTTCCCACACAAACCCTCACAAATATCCAGAAAAATGTAATAATTTGGTTACAGGGCACATTATGGGCTAAGTCCTTTTTCACCTTTGCACACCTAAGTGGTACCTATGCATAGTTTGGATTTCTGTTTCTGCCTGTGGCAGAATAGGATTGTCCTGTGTGCATTCCTGGTGGAAGTAAAATAAAAGGAAAGAGCAGCCTTCCCACATATTAGCCCAGTAATTTAGTGGTTAGGGTTTATTCAAGGATCAGGAGACCCAGCTTCTAGGTTTTTCTTCCCCAGAAGACATTTGAACCAGCATCTCCAACTTCTCAGGCTGCTTTTTGGAGCTGGCTCACTGGGCAGCTAGGAGGAGAACAAGCTAGAAGGAAAGTGGCAGTGGGATAGCAGGCAGTAGGGCAGAAACTATCCTTCTGCTCTTTATCCATTTTATGGAAGGAACATTAAATGAAAGTGATAGTGGAACAGCTTCAACAGGATGCTGGAGAATGCTGTAGAGCAGGGTTGTCCAAGTGACAGGCCCTGACATCCTAGCATACAGCCTTCAGGCACCACTGCCACCCCTATTCCCCCCACTCTTTTTCCTGCCGCAGCAGCCAGGTTCTTTAGGCTCCCCCTTCCTTCTTCCACTTCTACTTCCTGCCTCCACTCTTGGGGGCTGGGGTGACACAGTGAGAGGGAGCTGCATCCTTGGCAGGAGAGGGGGTTAGGCTGCTCATGCTGTGCATGAAAAAGCCAGCTATCTGCACTGAAGTATGGTGCATGGCTGGGAGGGGAAGGAGATGCTGTGAGTGCAGTGGAGGGAGCCAGGCTGCCTGTGCTGCAAGGGGTGAGTGAGACTGCCTGCACAGTACATGCAGCTGGGAAGCAGGCAGAAGCCAGGCGGCATGTGTCTCTGGGAGGAGCAGAGCAGAAGGCTATACAGACAGCTGAGGGGAGGCATGCTAGGCAGCCCATGGAGCAGCAGAGAGCCCAAGAGGGGCCACTTACATAGCCCACATCTCGTGCGGCCCCCAGGACGCTCCAGAATGAGGTTCCATGAAGCTGCGTGACCCCAGACCCACACTCACTACCACTCCCAGGCCCACGGATCTGAGTTTGACCCCTGGTTTAGAGGAGGACTATTGAATATGGCATGTCTTAACATACCCTCTCTGTCATCAAGTATCATCAGTTTAAGGATGTCAGTTCTGACTTCTGTTTAATAGTGGACCTGTCCTCTATGAATTTTCTAATCCCTTTTTGAACCTTGTTATAGTATGTTCCTCTACAACCTCCTGCAACCATAAATTCCACAAGTTAACAACATATTGTTTGTTCTTGCAGGGTGAATGTAGCTACACAAAATCCCGAAGTCTGCATAAGTACCAAAAACTGCAGGCATGTGGCCGCGTAAGTGCCACTTCAGTGCATGAAAGTTAAATAAGATTTAGTTGTATTTGTCTTAGTGGCCCTTTGTCCTTCCTTCTTCAAGAATGTGACAGCCATTATAACAGACACTGATTGGCAGAGGGGCCTTGTTGGTCCCGCCGCTCACTGTTTGCTCTTGATGGCCAGGAGGTGGCAACTGCAGTTTTAAATATCCCGCAGTTTTTGCCTCCTGCTACTGATTGGCAAAGGGGCCCTGGCAGCCTTGCCACTTACTGCTGACTAGATGGGAGGCAAAAACCACAGCATATTTAAAACCGCAGTTTTTGCCTCTCAGCCATCAGAACTGAGCACTGAGTGGCAGGGCCAATGGGCCCCTCAGCCAATCAATGGGGAGGAGGGGTGGCATGTAAGGGGAACTCCAAGATTAAAGGAGCTGCTGTGCAGTGACCTGAGCCCACAGTTTAAACCAGGCTATACCCACAGGTCTCCCTCTACTCCTCTGCTTCTGACTAGATATCCATCTCCCCACCCATAACTTGGAAACAGTCCCTTCTATTCAGATATCAGATCTCTCTATTCCACTATATGGTCCCTCAACAATGTCAGTAACAACCACTCCCCTTGTTAAAAAAGAAGTGATTACCTTTTCTGGCTCTTCCCCTTTGACACTTTCTCACTTCTCTCCCTTCACTTTTTGTCCTGTTTTTGGCTCTAGGTTCTTTTCAGCTCCCCTCATTCAGCATCTCCCTTT